GTCTTACACTTGTCAGAGGCTGCATGGTTTGCATTTCCAATCTGGTCATTCCACTTTTCTTCTTTTTCTGAAGCGCAATGTACAATTGATATAAAAGTTTTGTGGCTGCCCCAGGCTTTTCGGTCATGATGCTCTGGGCCACATTCTGATCGAACTGCACACCCAGAAGGTGAAGCGTTGGCTCCAGTCGAGAAAAATTATTAAGTTTGGCACTGGAAACCCTAGGTGTTGAAAGTATTTTACATAATTAGACACTGGCATTGAATTAAAATAAACAACAAATAGAAGGGGGATTAACATGATCCAGCATTACAAATTATACCACGTTCTTTTAAATATATCACTCCTCCCTAGGACAACTCAATAATGTAAATACATTGGAATTTTTAATTGTCTCTGTCTACCTGAATTCCATGCATTTATTTCTCTCACAGTTAAACTAAAATTCATTAATTTTATACATTTTCTGCTCTGACTTGACGATATAATTTCTACAGAAAGTCCACACAAAGGCAGACAACTAAATGCCTTTTTCTAAATGGAAAACTTCAACTATATTTTGAAAAAAAAAAATTTTTTCTTTTGCTCAGGAGGTAAAATTGCAATTGAAATATCCACTTCTTTAAACAATACGAATACCAGAGTCTGAAGATAGTCCTAAATGTTGCACTGGCAACTCTAACATGATCCTCTCAGGCACTGTCTGAAATAATTAAATAATGTTAACTATGCAATCAAATTGATTATATGATCTTCACTGTAAAGTTTACAGTACTACCTTAAACATCAATCGAGACTTTCTAATTAAAGGATACATTTATTTTTGAATGATCTATTATCAAATTATGCTCAAATTTTAGAATAAGTTCATTAATTTATTCATTTATTACTTTAATCTTTCACTTAGGAAACATTTATTTAGTACCCATTACATATCAAGGATTTGCTAAAGTGTTAGCGTTACAAAGGTGAGTTAGATAGAGTCTCTGCCCTTGAGTTCATAGGTATTGGGAAAAATAAATGAGTAAACAAGTAATAGTAAATTGAGTTGTTTTAATAGGCATCCCAAATAATCTAAGGTTGTTAATGAGTCTTAGAAATCTAGTAACAGATGGAAGTTAAAAATACTGGATGCATTTTCAACTCCTGCATGTCCTATGATCAAACTGGATAAAATCTCAATTCTTACACAAGACATTGGCCAGTTTTCTTCTTATTTTAACTTCCTAATAATCAGTGACATTATTTAACAGAAAATACTGAATATACTTGAATATAAGTCAAGCACACCCCATCCCCACCACACCCCCCAAAATATCTCAGAACACAGGGAGTTGCTATATATTTGAGTCCTTACAGAATCTCTAAAATTATGGGGTATTCAATCAATTGCTTCATTTTGGACTATAAAACTATTTGAAGAACATACAATGACTTT